TTGCTGATGCTTGCTTTTATTATATTTATAAATTTTTTTTATTTAGTGATGGACGAGATGCCACAAAAATAGTTAAAATGCAAGACAAACTCAACAGGAACAAGTCAAGTGCTTCTCTGCCAAAAACTGACGAAGAATCTTGATTTTTATTTTTAATGAAAATTTTGTAAATATTTCATTATCGTAATTTATGCATTTTAGCAAATATAAATATTTTATGAGACAAATCTCAAAATGAGTGCCCAGTAATGAGGAAGAAGTTTTATGTATATACAACAATATGTTAATAGACTATTAAATTTAATTAAAAGTTTATATTTTATTAAATTTATTATGAAAAATTACAATACTGTATATAAATTCTTAATCTCAATTAATCATAGTCAAGTTGTGGTTTTTTCCAAATATTTTAAAAAGTTAACATGCTATAACAAGTCACATTTAAAGCCGAATTAAAAAGTAAAGAATCTAAGGAAAAGATTTTCATTCCATCGTAAGCGGAGCTAACATTAAGCAAACAATCTTCTAGCTTTAAGAGTTCCAATTGATTCTACAAACCTTAAATTGAAAACAAAAAATTATAACCTAAATTTTTTAAAGTTACAGAAAACGGAGAGAAGACCAAGATGGAACTTACACAACTACATCTTTGTATTGCAACTGAAGGCGGTGGTATCCAGCATTTAATTAATTTACACTTTCAGGTCTTACCCTTAAGTGTCATGTCTGTGTTGACCTTTTTTAAAATCTTGCACATTTGAAAACAAAACTTCATGGTTTTTATAAGTAGTCAATATTAAAGATCGTTTATTCCCATTTAATTTGATATATAATAAGTATTTATTGATACAGAATTGATTGTTCTTAATAATACAAGTATATAATGTATACAAATGCAAAAACCAATTTTTTTAAGGCTTTATTTATAATTGCACCATTTGAAACATGCATGCTCAATTCTGATTGGGTAATTTATTTTCATTCCGTTTTGTGTTTTCTGTCCTTTGCACATATTCTCATATTTTTATCAACGAAATTTTAGTTTTGGTTCGTTTGTCATTTCAGTAAATATTAAAATTTGCCAGTGGTGTGCCGTCATTAGAAGCGGTGNGATAATAAATAAGTAAAAATTTAAATTAGACATATTTAACTTAAAAATAATAGTGAAATTGCGACTGAAGTTTTCATCTCTAAAATGTGAACGTCACTTACAAGATAGCGGCACTCAACATTCACGTTTTAGAGATGAAAACTTCGGGCACAACCTTGCTAATAATGATTGTGATATTTAATGTTTAATTTATAAATCATTATAATTAAACTTTATTTGTGATCTTTAATAAAGTCCATAGTTTATTATGGATAGATTGATATTTTATAACTACTGTATATTCTCTTTAACATCACTATCAACAGCAACCCCACTTTTTGTGAGGTTGCTGTTTTGTCTTGATTTGGCTTCATTTCATGACTGGGTGTCATATCTGTTGCAAACTTTTCTTTTGTTTAATCTGGACTCGGACTGTCCATGGCCACTAATCCATGTGAGGTATAAGATAACAGCATCCAGCAAATCTGTTATTGCCAACTACAACATTGTCTGGGCTTCTCATTGTTTTAATTTTGATCTGATTTAAATGGTGGTGTGTTAAATAAAGATCTTTTGAGTTTTTCTATATGAATTTCAATTCATTACATTTAATATTACTGAGTTAGTTAAAATGATTGTTTTTAAGTTTTTTGCATTTATTTCATTTTTTTTTTTTGTGATGAATGGTTTAAGGACTGAAACTAGTTCTTAAAAAGATGAAAATTCTTACTTATATATTGATGAACATAAAAGAAATGAAATTTAAATTTAGTTTGATTGGTAGTAAATTTAGAATAAAGAGGTGTTTTTTATTTTTGTAATATCTTAGACATTTTTTGAAAATATATATGATTAGTAGTATAATATACTATTTTTGTAAATTTATAATCACTTATATGAATATCTGTGATATGTATAGTCTTAAATGAAAATAATAATTTTAGAGAAAAAGCTTTAAATATTCTGATTAAAAATCATTTTGTTAAAAATATTAAATTTATATATTTTATATGATTAATAAAATGAATCTTTTCTAAAGTAGTATTTATTAAAATATATTAGGTTAGGTATGACTTTTTCTGAGAAAAAGTTGGATGAGAAAGATAAAAAACTTCAGTCTATTTATTTTGATGTTAAGTTAAATGCCATGTAAGTATGCACTTTTGTAAACTAACTTTTTACATTATTCTCAGTATTATAAAATATACTGCAGATTCAGTTTTAAAATTCAATTTCTTCTATAAATTAATATAAGAATTGTATTAAAAAGACAGAAAATTAGGATATAAATGAAATAGATAATTTTCTCTCTTTCAACAACATATTGTAGATAATCAATTTAAAGCTTAACTTTAAATAAAAAATCTACGGTAAAATGATATTTGAAAGTAAATGAATTTCAAAAATTTTTTCATATTTCATCATCACTTGTTACTCTCCTTCCTTCTGTATTAATATTTTTTCCATGTGTTGTTACTTTCTTTGTTAAGCTATGAAAAATTCTTATTNTTCCCTTGTATTTTCTAAAAAATAAATACATATTAATTTTAATTATATGAAAATAATCGTACAATATCATCCTTGCCCCGCTATCCGCATAACTACTCCCTTATGCGGATAGCGGGCAAGGGTGATACTGATCCCCAGTAGGGGAAATGATTACCAAATGAAAAAAAAAAATTCGCACAATATTTTATTATAACCGCATTATGTATCTTATTACAAATTTCTATACTACACGTGAAAAAAAAATATAAGATTGCTATTGTATATTCGAATATTAGTGGCGGAGTGGAATCTCTTATTGTCAGATTCCAAAAAGCCAGATTTGCGCATGCGCTTTACAGAGCATCAACTCACCCGGTTTAGCCTGAGGAAGCCTACTACCTTGGGTTGATGCTACACGTATACCGCATCCAATTCTATCCGGGACCGGTTCTGGGCTGTTAGCCGCCCGCCCGCTAGATATTTGGCCGATTACACGAATCACGAGTAGATTCTTAACCTAACCGATAAGAATTTACCTGCATGTTTTTACGATAGTTCTGTATAGTTGACGAGTTAAAAAAATCCATTAAAATATTTGATATATTTATTCCGCTCTCCGATTTTATATTATTCACGGATTTCAATGTTAAACCGGCGATATTACGATTTCGTATGTCCCATCTTTAAGGGAATGTAGAAAAAAACGTGTACAATTCTTGTATAATGTCAAAAAATTCACTGTTACTTTGACAGCATCATTTACAACTAAACTTAATGAATGAGAGAGATGCACCAGGTACAGGAAAAGCTCTAGAATTTTTTTTCCTTAAATTTACGATTTATGTATCCGCTTGTCATAAAAGTTTGTCTTTCCACTTTTTTCCCGAGACTACAAATATTCGAGTACAAAGTAACCGGTTTCGACTTATTTCTACTTTAGAAGTGGTTAAATAATTAAACGATTAGGGAATTGGGGACATAAACAAAACCCTGACAAAAGAGCCGAAATATTACTTAAACAAAAGCTTAACCGAACCAATCTATAGCCGAGTACGGTGGGGACTGATTTCTTCGAAATACTGTATTAAATGTAATAAAGACAGAAATTTTTCCAGTTCAACGAGAGTGACCGAAAAGTTGTAATGTTTGGAAATTTCTGAGGACACTTGGTCCTAAAACGAATTAGAAAACAAATGACTATTAAGTTTAACGTATTTAGATTTTTACAGCTATGGTGAGAAACGTTTAAAATCTACAACAGCCCTGTCGCGTCCTTTGAGATATACTAGTGATGCGACAAAAGAGGTATTTTACATTGACCGGTATGGGCACCCTGGGGATTTGGCAGTCCGCGTGTATGTGTGACCTTTCGGGTCGGCACCTCCTTGGTGCCCTGTCAGGATTGACACCACCGTGTTTAACGGAACACGGAAGCCGAGACCGCGACTACGTCACACCGTCGCGCGAGCGGACCCGTACGTGGTCAGACGGATTCGTAATGTCGGATCGAGAGACAACATGTGGAAATGACTCAGACATACTTAACAATTAACAAGGGTTATTTAAAAATAAATTGGATAAAGTGTTGTCGCAGAGAGAGAGAGTTCACATACGGTTGGCGTGGTGATAATTACCTTTGGTAATAGATATCCCGGTCGAATCGTGTTGAATCGGAGAACTTATGGGCTTTTTCAGGATGTATCCAGGGGTGAAATATCCAGTCAAAATGTCCCTTTTGATTTATCCAGGATCGATCGTGCACTAACACACACACAGAAAACGTTATCCTATGGGTGACGATTAAATGGACGACGACTTCTTTCCTCTCCGAGGACTTAAACGGCGACTAAAACGGGCACCGGAGATCTTTATGCAGCTTTATCGGGATTAGTTGATTCCAAGGGACGATTGCCCCGAAGTGGGGTGCATCGGCCTTATATTCGATTTGGGCCTGGGAAAATGATCAGGTGATTGTTTTCAAAGACGAAGGTTGATTTTGCAGGTGTTGGGTCATAGGAGGCCAGGGGAGGCAATAAGAAGTCGTTGAAATGGTACAGTACATATAGTGTAATCTTTGCTTTGTGAAATGTTAGATTCATCCTGTTTATTCAGTCTAATGTTGACATTCTCATCCTTTAACAATAGATTGTTATACTTTCTTAGCGTTTGTTGATGAGAAGGACGATATTTAATCCTTTTTTTGTACGATGTTTTCTTAACGGCTTTTCGGCCGTCTCTAGTGATATTCACGGGCGATTTCGGCCGTGCGGAGGTTAATAGTTCACGAGAAAGCGTCATGTTGCTTTCGAGAAAATGTAACGGGAGACTTTCTCAGGTAGCTAAGAACAACAATTGTTGCGTAATTCGCGAAATGTTAATATTAAAGACTAGGTCTGATATAGGAATTTCTGCTATCTCACATCACTCCGGCCTTTTGAAAATCGAGCCTGTTCGTGAAAGTGAAAGTGCAAGTTCGATTTTAGATTGTGATGTAAGAACATTAATAAGTTGGACTTTTACTCTCTCTCTTTTCTCTGTCTACATACTAGTAATAGGAGTACAAGTTACATATTGGTAATAGGAGTACAAAGGTTATTATTGTTTACTTACTGACTATTATACAAATTTAGGTTACTCTCTTTCTCTCTCTACTTGTGTTACGTGGTCAAAAGGAAACACACTGACACGTGGTTAAAGATAAATATAAATGTTTTTTTTTCTCATCCTGGTCAATACC